GGTTCAGAACAGGGCTGCAAAACTTGTAACTGGCAAATTGAAATTTGACCATGTAACTCCAATATTGAATGAGCTTAACTGGTTAAAAATTAAAAAAAGAATAATTTTTAAAATTGCAGTGATTGTGTTTAAATCCTTGAATGGAATGTCACCGGCTTACATCTCAGATAAATTTTCCATGAAGGCATCTACAACTTGTTTTCATCTAAGATCAGATAATATGAATCTTTTGGCGGTCCCAGCTAGGCATCTACGAATAGGTGCGAGAGATATTGCGGTCGCAGGTCCGACAGTCTGGAATGACCTACCAGTTTCATTAAGAAGATCTGGAATTAACTTTGTGACATTTAAAAGGGAATTAAAAACATACTTATTTTCTGTGGAAAAACAATGAATTTGAATATTTTGATTTATATCAATCATGCACAGTTATTTTGTTATTTTATTTTTGATAGCGCTTTTGAAATTATTAATTTGCGCTATACAAATGTTTCTAAATAAATAAATATATATATTCAATTACAAAAGTGCAATTTTTGGCATATATATATATATTTAATTTTTAATATATATATATATATATATATATATATATATAATTAAAATTAAATTAAAAATAATAAAGTAAAATATACTTTTTAAGCTTCTCTTTCAAATTGAACATATCTTCAAACCCTTTTTAAAAGCAAACAATAATAACTAAAATAAAAATTTGGTAAATTGGTGTTAAAATTTTTAAATGAAATTAAACCCAATTTTATTGCATGGAAACTGATAGCCAGCCACTTAATGTTTAATTAGTCTATGTAAATACCCAAACTAAAATTAATTAAAAAACATTCTTCAAAAGTATTTATAACGTTGATTTTGTTTAGAATATTGTATCCTGTGCGACTACGCAATGAATTTTAAAAAGTTCAAAAAATAAATTTCAAATAAAATAGCTACCAGGAAGGCTAGAAAGAAATTTTCCATAATGTTCATTCAGTTTATGATTTCTAGATTTCCAACAATGGCCGCGATTATTGTAGTCATTTTTGCAATTCAAATATTTTGATGAAGTGCAATTTTTGGCATTTCGTTTAAGTTTTTTGGGAATGCATTTGTAGAGATTTCTCACCAAAAGCAGTCTGTTTCTCTGGACAATCAGCTTATCATCGGACGGTAATATTTTGTTTATGATACTTTCTACTGAGCCAGATGAGAACAAAAATGAAGTGGGAAAAACTTTTAATGATGGCTTCTGAAATTATTATTTAACTTATGAATTTCAATAATGACTTTCAAAACTATTAAAACTCACCTTCAAATATCCAGCCCGTTTTTTCTTTACTCCTTTCTTGCCATAACTGCCATTACTGATTTCATTTCTGATACCACCAACGATGAACTTGTTCAACTTTTGACTTTTTCCTCCCATGACGCCTCGGCAGTTTGGTGCACCACATCTACAAACTTGCTGTGTTTAATATCATAGTCAATGGTATCATCAATTCATTTCGTTTGCTTTATTTCATTATCTGATAGATGAAACGTCATCGATACAATATAAAATGCTAATAAAAAGATAACAACTGGATATTAGTTACTGATACTATTAATGAAATGATCTGCTTTCTATTGATCGCAGAATGAATGCTCTGTCAAAAGTAAATTCGATCACAAAAATGAAAAAAATAGTAACAAACTGAGACTAGTTTCAGAAAAATCATACATAATTTAATTGTGCTGCAAAAAGGTAAACTAAAAATCTTAAAAAAATAAACTTATGCTAATTAATTTTAAAAAAATTGCATCAGTAAACTTAAGAAAAAACCACACAATACGGTTATAGATATCTATATGCGTGTATAAGCATGTAAATCTGTGCCTGTACATAGTTTGGATGAGTGCGTCACACGGGATGCCTATATCCAATCTAGGTTTTTAGTTTTTTTTTCTAGTTGACAATCTTGCGGCAACTTTTACCTTTTCCGTTTTAAATTTGATTTGTTTTTAAAATTTATTTCATGGCTATTGTTGTGACTGTGTCTCAGTTGGGTGTGAAGTTTTTTTTGGCGCGCATATAAAGTGAATGGTTTATGTGCGAGTGTTGGTTTGTTTGGCGCGCTTGTTGTATGCATTGGTCTTGTCTGCATGCTGATAGAATGTTGTGTGATTTGGTCTTGCGTGAATGTTGGTATGGCATTGCGCGAGTATAGTTAGTATGTTTGAGAATGAATGGTTTCTCAGTTTGGTTAGTATTCAAGTGTTTTGGACAATGGTTCTAGGTTGGTTCGGTTCTTGCGTGTTTTTTTGCCGTTCGGTTTCTGCGTTTTTTTTTTATTTGGTAATTGGTGATAATTCGAACATTGTTCTGCGGTTTTTGTTTGGATTTCGTTTATTTGTTCTGTTGCTGTTGCAAATTGATTTTTTTATTTATTCATCAAATTTGGAATATTCAGTTTAGGCTATTATTTAGTTGGAAAAAATTTTGAAAACGTTTAATTTACAGAATATCGCAAGTTTATTTTTTTTCTTGTTTATTAATAAATTTATTTCAATTAGCTTTTGTTTGTCGTGTTTAACCTACAAAACATGTCTGAAGAAGATTTGTCAGCGGTTGGTAGTACTGAATTAACCGACTGGCAAGCAGGGCGCAAAAGCTCTTTCGCACAGCCTGTATTTCCCGACCCAAAAATGAACATTTGTAAGGGGGCAAGTCCCGGCCAAAACCGGATGGTTCCTTCAAAACTGAAATTGAGGCCTTGGAAAAGAGCCAGCAAATGTAGTCGTTTAATGTTGAGTGACATATATGTGTGCGTGTGTGTTTGTGTGTGTGGTGTGTATCAACATTTGGTGGTCGGGGGTTACCAAAGTTACTGAGACTGATATAATTAAAAAAAATCCAATCCAAAATATTTAGTCTCGTATTTAATAAATTTATCCCAAGTTATGATTTTGGTTTTACTTTGGTGCATTAAAAACTCCGTGATTGGAGTTTAAAAAGCCGATTGTAATGATAATAACAAAAATAATAAAATAAAAAAATAAAAATAGTAATAAATACAATTACGTAAAAATAATTACTTGTGAGAGGATGTTGTATGAATGAAAATTGTAATCATATGTTAACTCGGCACCTTCTGAAATATCTGTCAGAGCAAACAGCCCTATTCTGTATATGCCGTTCACATTCCTTAAATGTATTACCAAAAGCCATTCTATCTTAAACTGATTTGCATACAGAAGCTTAAAAATATCATCATTAGTTTTATATATTTATCACATCAGCCCATGTTAAGCAATCGAATATATAAATATTTTATTAACTTTTAAAATAAATGTTGCTAAAATTCAAGCAGCAAATAAATGAGTTAAAATTACCGAACGAAACAGAGCACACTCGTCTCAAAAATCATCACAATATAATTAAAAAATCGTCCCAGTAAATTTTAGATCACCTAACCATTTTTGCATGTCACAGTTAGGTTGACATGAATGGTTGATGAACCTGCTGATGTTGCCTGTCCTGTAGCCATCAATGACAAAGCCTCCACCCAAATTCAAACAATAATGATGTAATTCCTTGCTGTAATTTTCAGTCATTCGACGTCGGAACTCATCCTCACTCACCACTTCACCACAGTATTCAATAATAAACTGACCTAATTTAAAAAAAATGTAGCAAGTTGTTTATGCATTTTTGAACGAAAGCTATATAGTACTATAATTTTTTTATACCCGAAAATTGTCATAGCATAAATAACTTTCAGCATGTGTAAATGTTGTGAGAAATAGATTAGTTGAAACTCATTTCTAGCAATTAATGAATAATTAATGAATTATGAATTTGAGTGTTATAAAAATTTTAAGACCTGAAAAATTTGTCACTCAAAAGACAATAAAAGGAAATTTGAAATTTTTATAAAAATTTTAAGCATATTTTTTAGTTTTTGAAAACGATTACAATCAAATTCTAATTGTCAACCATAGATTAGAAATTCATAGATAAATCAGAAACAATGGACCGTGGCGAATAATAATTGAATATTTATTATTATTATTCATTAAAAACCATCGGACGATGTTATCGTTTTACCACGCAAGTATCGTCGTTATCATTATAACCGAGTTATTTTTATGATTCTGGCTTTTTAATCTATTCCGAAAAACGTAGTCGTTCGTTTAACACGGGTTCGTTTTTAATGAATCTATATCGTAATTTTCGGCAAACCCAAATCTTAAAATCTTACTGGAATCCCGAGATTCCGGTACGAAACCGGAACGGTCGCATTCTTAATAAAATTATATCAATAAACACATATAACCTGATGTTAATTTTTCAGTAGTCCGAACTCCATAACCCATATTTTCTGTAAGAAACTTGGATAAACTGTTAATCTTCCACAATCTTTTTTGCATAGGCCGATTTGTACATTTGTCACCAGTCGAACATGTCGATGGCGTGCACTCATCAAATGATTGTCTATTGAGACAATCTTCACCGCAACATTTTTCTAAGGGGTTCATAGGCTGAAGTATTCTGCAATCACATGAATTGCATTTATCTTTGCAAACTGGCTTGGCATCCATATAAGTACCTGTTATAATTATTCAAATCTATGAAAAAATTAGTGATTTTTTGGCAAAAACCATCTTATAAATAAAGTATTTTTATGTTTTTTAGTTTTACATTTTTAAATTTTAAAAAATTGTTATAATGTGAACAAAGATAAGGACAAACAATTTGTAACTAACATCTTTTAAGTTTCTTGTAGACCGGTGATTTTACATTAAAATTGTTGGCCTAAATAAATTTGTTCAAGGTCCAAGTAATTAAATTAATAAAAAAATTATATATGCACGTACATTTGATTTTAGCTTTAAATGTTGTAAAACCGTCATCAGATGTTCTCAATTTAAACATTCAAATTTTATAAGAACACGTCTCAGTAAACTTTTATAACAATGGTTGAAACAAGATTTTAAATGATTTATAAAACTGACACCATTAAGCAATGCATGTGATAAAATGTGAAAAAATATAAAAATTATTTTCGTCAATTACCGTCGTGGCATCACTGGTTAAAGATGGATTATTGTTGATGTTGCCAGCAGTTTCGGTGAAATGGTTCACAAGAACACGATCGACAGTGTTTTTGAAATCAACGTCATCGTTTCCCCTAGACGATATCGTATGATATTCACATTGACATTAAGACATCGGCAAAAAAAGAAAATTAATAAAATTGTTTAAATTATTAAAGCATTTATGGTTCAGATTTTCCTCATTTGACGATGTTCGAAATTTTAACTGAATGCATTTTCTTCCTACCATTTTATAATAAATATAGTGTTAAGAGTAGCGATGTACTGTTTCTAGGTACAAGTACCGGAACCGCAGCAGTTCCGGTTGCTACCGGAATCGCAGCAGTTCCGGTTGCTACCGGAACCCAACACAAGGTACAGCACCGTTTGTACTTTTAAAACTGTTTCTGATTACCCAGGTTGTATCCAAATTAGGAACCGGAACCGAAAAACCGCGATACCAAACCGGTACTTTTCAAAATTAAAAAAATTATGTTTAATTTTTTTGCTTAAAATTTTACTCGACTTAATAAATCTTTGGTAGTGTAATTATTATCTTTGTAATTGTAACCATCTTACCATACTTCTTTTTCCTCTTTCATTTTGTTTTTGTCTCATGCACACTCGCCTAAAGTTATTGATATTTGATTAATATTTTTAAAATTTATTTCATATTGATCGCATTTATATCCGAAAGATGAATAAAATGGCAATGTTTAATAATTTAATAAACTGTTTTAATTTTTGTTCAGTTATCTGTTATTGTGCTCACAATTCAATTGGGGATTGAAAATCCAAATTGCTTTTAATTATTTACCTTTCAGTTGCACATATTCCATCTGATTTGAATTTGAGAATAAAATTTTCAGTGCTCAAAGTGGTAGTAGAAAGTTATCAATAGAAGTTTTTGAAAATTTTTGACATACAAACAAGAAAAGTGAACAAGGAGATCAAAATTCAGAGAGCACAAAAAGAACATCAAAAGCTGTCGCTTAAATTGCTGGAAATGAAAATATTCATACAACTTTATCGGTCGGTATAACAACTTCTCTACACTAGGTCGTTGACGTTGAATCCAGTACCGCTCCGCTTCCTTTCAAGTTCCACTCAGTTTTGGTCGCCTCTATGCTTTTCCTTATATTTTAAGTGTACTGGCTGGGAGTTTCTGGCAGCATTTCATATATAAGTCCTCAGTGTTTTTCAAAAAGGAGTTTTAGATAGTCTCTTCGGTAGTTGTAGGGTACGCACTTCGATACGCAATGAGAAACAACAAGTGCTGGTCAATAAACTTAAGATAATTGGTAAAGTTGTTAGATAGACCTGATAGTTGCACAACAAGATAGCAATTGTTAATAGCTACAAAAATAGATTGGTTTACTAATTATAACAGCCAATAGAAATGTTAATACACAAATGCATAATAACGCAAGTCGATAATGAATTGGGGGTAATGTAAGCTCTCGAAGAGCACGCTTACATTTCAAACTTACATTGTGCTTTTGAATTATTTTACTGCTTTGCACGTGATATATCTTCGGCACCATTTTTCTCCAAAATGGAGTCAGGAAAATTTATCTAGTGTCTTATTCCCCCATAGGTGTCCTCCTAAGGGTCCATCATGCATTTCCTTGAAAATTTCGTCAGTTTTGCCTCTGAGTATCATAATTAGCATTCATTCGATGAGTAACAGGGTTCATTTTTCCTAAGTTGTTGTTGTCGGTTGAACACTGCCAACATAGATTCGGCTTTCTAACAATCATATGTTGCAGAATTTTCGTAAACTTTAGAAGACTATTGTAATAGAAACAAGTTCATAATGGTGAATTAGATTTCAACCATAGAGCATTTTTGATGCTTGTTATAAAACTTTATACCATGACAACGTCATGAAAATTCAAAGTTTCTGTTAGTTCATCCAAGTAGAACTGGTGGTCCCCAGTTCAGTTTAGCCCATACGTTTTCAGATGTCTAAGGTATTCGAGTATCGCTATCGGTCATTTTCACTTAGCTGGCCCCCATTACCACATCCATATTTTTCCATCTAAGAAAAACGCGTCTTTGCAAGTCAATTTTGAATCCATAACTGTCAAAAAATCTACACCTATTAGGCACTTGTCAGTGATGTTCACAATTAGGAATGAACTTTCAGATACCAAATTGCCAAGTTACAGACATTATTGTAGCGTTCGAAAGATGATCATTGATGCAATCTTATTATAGGCTGGGTACCAAATCAGGTCTCGAAATTGATTTTGCTGCTCCAGAGTCGATGGTAATCGTATATTCAAATCAAATCAAATCTAATCAAATCAAATTTTATTCAATCAATCCAAATTAATAATAATTAGGTAATGATTAGGAGACCAAAGCTAAAAGAAAACAAAATTCTTGTGTCGCAGGCCACCGTTCACAAATTTTAAGTAATTTTAAGTAAATTTTAAGTAAATTCTAACACAATTTTTAAGTAAATTTATAATTCATGACAAAATTAACATAATGCACAATTTACATGATTCTAATTAAATAAAAATTGTACTTTTTTTCAATAAATATTTCTTTATTTTGTTTTTAAACAAATGCAAGGAATTTGTAGTCTTTATATCAACAGGAAGTTTCTCCCAGATTCCGGGACCGGTATGTTTTAAACTTCCACCAAGCAGTGTTATTCTTGCAGGTGGTGTATAGAGCAGAGGAGAATGTCGAGTGAACTTTGACTGCACAGCATTTCCGAATTCGAAGAAGTCATTAAAAGATGTTGGTAGTTGATAATGTAGGAACTTGAACACAAAGATAGAAACATGATAATTATACAAATTTTTTATGTTTAAAATTTTCAGTTCAGGATAATAACAGCTGACATGACTATATGGATGTAGATTTAATAGAATTTTGATGAAACGATTTTGACATCTGGTAATTTGCTTCAAGTGAACTTCAGGGCTGTTTCCCCAGATGATGTTGCAGTATATTAGAAGTGGATAGATTAATGAATAATACAAATCTATAATTATTGGTTTATTCAATCTTACTTTAATTTTATTAATTACGCCTATGGTTTTATTAATTTTTTTCGATAACGAGTCTATATGCATATCCCACGAGAGGTTGTCCTTGATTATCACTCCGAGAAATTTTGTGCTGGATGTACGCGGGATGCTATGGTTATTCATTTTTATATCTAAATTAGGTATTGCGTTAGTCAATCTTTTTAGACCGAATAGAATGTAGTTGCATTTAGAAAAATTTACAATTAGTTTATTATTGATGAACCAATTTGAAACATCATCTAAACTTTTATAAATTATCTCTACATCGTTTGATGGATTGCTAGTTGGGAAGAAAATGTTAGTATCATTTGCATACAGAAGATGATGAGCATCAGTAGCCAGATGAAAATCATTCATAAAAATTATAAATAGAAGTGGGCCTAAGATTGATCCTTGCGAGACTCCTGAAGTTACATTTAATTTATTTGAAGATTTATTTTTTATCGACACATACTGATTTCTGTTTTGCAGATAGCTTATGAACCATGTATGTGCTATTCCTCTTATTCCATAGGAGTATAATTTCTTTATTAATATCTCATGATTAATAACATCAAATGCCTTGGACAGGTCTATGAAAACACCTATGGTTAGGATTTTTTTATTCAGATTATTTAATATGTTTTGTACTAAATGTAGTACAGCTAGTTCAGTTGAATGTTGTGCTCTATATCCATATTGATTTTTATTTAATAAATTATTAATATTCAAGAATGAAGTTATTCTGATAAATATAATTTTTTCCAGTACTTTAGAAATAGGTGAGAGAAAGGATATTGGTCTGTAATTGTTCATTTCCATCTTGGATCCTTTTTTATGAATAGGTATTATCTTGGATGTTTTGAAGCATTTTGGGAATATTCCTTGACTGATGGACAAATTGAATATATGTGTTATTGGATGTACAATTTCTGAGATGATTTGTTTTAAGAGATAATTACTTAATGAGTCATCAGAGGTGCTTTTTTTATTGCTAAGATTCTTGACGACTGTTAATACCTCAAGTTCATCAGTGGAGTTAATGTATATGGATTTACAAATGTAGTTGTTTATTTTTGAAGATTCATTAACTGTTTGATTTTCAAGCAAATTTTCAGTAATTTTAATAAAATATTCATTGAAACAGTTACACATTTCTTCTGCATTATCGATTATGTTGTTATTGTTGACTTTTATTTTATTGATATCATTCAACTGTTGATTTTTATTCATTATACCATTATTATCTCCACTTTTTCTTTGAACAGCTTTTTGCATCATTAAATCTTTGACTAAAGTAAATTTTTTCTTCCTTTCGTTTAAATGATGTAAAATTATTTCTGAATCGCTCATATT